GGTCGGTCTTCCAGGGGGCTGTCCAACTGCCAGCAAGAGGGAGGCAAAAGCGGGAGGTGGGGGGAGCCACGTTTGGCCTCCCCCTGCGTGCAGCTGCCAAGAAAGCGTTGCCAGAGATTCTGGGCAGTGCCCTGCGGCTTCTGCCTGGGGGGGAGTCACAAGGGAACCGTTGCTGGTGCACTCTGGGTTGGCGACTGCCTCGGAGGGCTGTCCCCTCAAGGCTGCTGCTGTCTCCCCCCCGCCTGTATCTAGGCTTTGTACAAAGAGGAGCAGCAGGAAGCGGGTTTTCACCCCCTCCGTGGTCTGGTGGCAATGCCAGCATTTGGGGAAGGAAAAGGACAGAGCCCCCAAGGATTGGCCGGCGGAACCCCCTTCCATGGGAGGTGGCTTGGTGGCAGTTGGCATTCAGGGGGAGTGGATGGACGCCCTCCCGGGCTGAGGGGAACCTGCTTTGCCTTTTCAGTCACCCCCTTTCCTTTGGCCTGCAGCTACCCTTCCTCCCTCGGCCCCCCACGGTTGGGCCCCCACAGTGGCTCCTGCTCGGCGAAGCTTCTCCAAAAGGCCCTCGGCCGCTTCCACCACTGGCCTCGGGGGCGAGACGGTGAGTGCTGCGGCCTCTGCTGGGCGGACGGGGGCTTCGGGGTGGCCCTGCTGGGCCAAGACGCAGCTCCCAGGCCCACGGAGGGCACCCTTGGCACACCAGTTGGCGACGCAGGGCCTCGCTGGGCCTGGCCCGGAGTGGCTTTGCTTTTTTTCGATGTGAAACGGTGCCCTGCACTTGCCCCCTTTTTCTTCATAAAACAGCAGAAGGATCTGCTGCCACGTTTGGGGCGTCCACGGGAGCTCTGTGGGCAATGCAACTTCTCCCTCGGCTGCGGCTGCCTGAGCTCTTCCCCGCCCGCCCGTTCCTGGCTGCTCCTGCGCTGTCTCTGGAGACCCCCAGACACCCTTGTCCTCCCTGCTCCCGGGGGCATCATCTTGGCTGGAAGGCCCCCTAGAGCAGAGGCCCGGGGGCTGGGCATTTCGACCTCTCTGCTGAGCCCTGACCCTGAGGCCCCCTGCTGGCTTGGTCTGGGGGGCTGGATGGACACTGCAGAGGAACAGGCACGGGCGGGGGGCTGCTGGTGCCTGCCGGGTGACCCCTCCTTTTGTCCTCAGCCCCGCTCCTTCAGCCCTGCCCCGCTGTCGGCTTTGTCCCCTTCCCAGAGCACTTCGGCCTTGACGGAGCGCGCCTTCTTCACGGCCACGCAGCCGGGGCTCGGTAGGTCGTCTCCGGCTGGGGGGCTCAGCGGCGGGACCCGCTGCCTGGGCAGGAAGCTGCCCTTGTTGCAGGAGAGGGAGGCCGGCCTAGTGGCTGAAGCCTGGGCTGGGGCGAGGGGCATCGGGGGGCTGCCAGAAAGAGCTCAGGCACCCTGCTCTCCTTCCTTCTGTGCCAGGCGTCTCCCGTGGGCCCTCCCCCGTGGTCCTGGGCTCCCAGGGCGCCCTGCCTGTGGCCACAGCCTTCACGGAATACATCCACGCTTACTTCAAGGGCCAGAATCCGGACAGGTACTGGGGGCAGAGGGGCGGGGGGTGCTCGCCCCGCACCACTAGTGGGGGCCTTTGGGCTCCCCAGCTGTGACTCTGGAGCCCTTCCACTGGAGCGCCTCCAAGAGGCCGAGTTTGCCCCACGTGCTGGGCTACTGGCTGCATGCCCCCTTTCCTGGGCTTGTGGGGCAGCCAAGTGCCACCTGCTGGACCGGTGAGCCCTTAGGCAAATTGGCCTAAGGCTTCCTGAAGGCTGAGTGCCAAAGGGGCTTGCGCCAAGCGGAGCCTCGGGCAGAAGGAAGCCTTGGTGCTGGGCATGGCCTCTGTCCTCTTGAGGCCTGGAGGGCCAGATCCGCCTGGTGGCAGAGCAGGGGATGGGAACCAAGGGGCCACTCCTGTCCCCGCAGCTGCCTCGTCAAGGTCACCGGGGAGCTCACCATGTCCTTCCCGGCGGGCATCATCCGCATCTTCAGCAGCGCCCCGTCGCCTCCTGTCCTGAGTTTCCGCCTGCTCCACACGGCCCCCATCGAGCAGTTTCTGCCCAATGCCAGCCTGCTTTTCAGGTGCTTGCAGGGAGGAAGGACTGGGAGCCAGTGGGGCTGGGGAGGGCAGCATGGGGTGTGGGGAGCGGAAGCAGGGCTCTGGAAGCGGAGATCAGGTGCTCGGGGAGATGGGGGGAGGGCCCGGCTGCTGCCGTCAGAACCGGAACAGCCAGACTGACCCCCACAATCTCCCGGGTGCCCCACAGTGATGCCTCCCAGAGCGACCCGAGCAGCAGAGACTTCTGGCTCAACATGGCCGCCCTCACCGGGCATCTCCAGAAGCAAGCGGAGCAGGCAGGGGCCGCCCCTTACTACAACGTGACCCTGCTCAGATACCAGGTGAGGATGCGTGGGGCACTGAGACCAGCGGGCAAGACTGCAGGCCCGGCAGCTGGTCGGCAGAGGCCGTTCAAAGCCTTTGGAGCCCAAAGCTGCAAGGGCCAGCGCAGTTCTCCACCCTCTGTTCTTCCCGAGCTGGCCCTGCGAGGGAGGCCAGAGCAGCCGGGAAGATGCTTGAACCCCAGTCGGAGGAGCATGCTGGGCCCTCTCCCCAAAGCACACAGAGGCCAGGGCGGACCCTGCGCCAGACTGAACGTTACACGATGGGTGGAAGCGGGACTGAGCAGGGCGCGGTGGCGTTTTTCAGGAAATAGCTTGGAAGGGCTTTGCCACTTCCTCCTCCTGGGACGTTTCTCAACTTCCCAGTCTTGCCTCCAGCCCGGGGTCTCCTGGTGGTCTCCCATCCAAGGACTGATCAAGTCCGGCCTTGCTTAGCTTCAGAGCTCAGGCAAGGTCAGCCAGGAGCTTCCACCTGCCCAGACAGAACACGGTTAATCTTCCGCTAACGAAATGGACTCTGTGTGATGATTGCTCATGTGCTGAATAACGTCCTCTTGTGAAGGTGGCACTGGTGGTAATTCTTTGGGAGTTTGTAGCTGGTGCATCAGGGCGGGGGTCGCACGTGGCCCCAGGTACCCTGTGGGGCATCACTCTGTTCCTCACGGGCCCCCCAAGGCGCTCGCAGATGCTTCCCGTCATTTGGGCTGCGGTTCCAAGAACCCCCAGCCATTCGCCTGCTGCCTTGGAGATGGGGGGCTGCAGTCCCACACCCCCAGAGGCTGGGCGCGTTGGCTTCCGGGAACAGCGCTCCTCCGCCTGCCTTGGCCTGCCCGAGACCCCGGTGGGGGCAGCCGTGCCCCGGGAGACACCCGGGCCTCTTCCTGGGCCTCACCTCCCCTCTTGCCCGCCCTCAGTACTCCAAGCAAGGCCAGGAGTGGGCCCCGCTGCAGCTGTCTGTGAACTGGGAGTGCGCTGCGGAGGCCACCCGGGTGAGCGTGGATTACCGCTACAACGCGTCGGCCCTGGCCTCGGCCGTGGCGCTCACCAACGTGCAGGTCCTGCTCCCCATTGAGGAGGCGGCCGCCAACGTCCAGCCACAGCCCGAGGCTTGCTGGTAAGCGGGGGGCGGTCGGGGGGGACGAGGTGAGGGGCCGTGCTTATAATCTGCCCCCGTTCGAGCAAGGAGCGTCAAAGGCCCCGCTAGCTTCAGGTGGCCAACGAACGCGGCGCACGTGGAAGGTCCGCCGGCGGCCACACGGCAAAGCGCCTTCGCTTCGAGAGGCCCAGGGGATTATTTACTAAACCAGCAACTCCAAGGAAACCGGCACGGAGCTAATCCCCAGGCCCCTGTGCCAAAGAGGCTCTGCCCGTAGCAACTGGGGGAGGAGCGGGAGGGGGAGGAGAGCTGCAGGCGTCGTGGGTGGCAAACGGGGCACTCTTCCCCTCAGCTAGACCTGGAACGGGAGCCCCACAACCGGCCACGCTCAAGTGCTGGGCTGGTCGCGTTCGCCATGACGCTGAAGTTCCAGGACTGGCATGGCCGAAGCCGCTCTCTCCCTCTGGGGTCTGCCCTAGGGCAGGGGCAAAGGCTGGGCCAGAGCTGCTCACCTCTCATTCGGATTGCAAAGGGGGCCCTTGGGGGCACCCTGCCCCGGCCTCCCCCGAACAGCACCTGCTTTGCACGCCTGGGGAAGAGGGGGCCGGACTTCTGACCACCTGCCTCTGTCCTGCGGTCACTTGCCCAACCCCTGCCTCTCTGCTGTGACTCCATCTTTTGGGCAGCGGGGCAAACCTTTATTTTAGTTCGTTATTCATTTTTATTTTGCTTTAAGCCCTGAGATCTCAGCAGTATTTTGGCCCCTTCATCTTCAGACTGGTGTTTTAGGGAGACGTTAATTGTGTCTTCAGCTTGCCCATTTATAAAGCCAGTGTCAAACAGGAACAAAACGGAAAGGCTGGGGGGCGATGCCTCACTGCCCTGTTTCTCCCCTCCCCTGACGGAGAAACGGCCAAAGACGTGTACCCAGGGCACCTGAAAAGACAGACTCAGCATTGGGATGGGCAGAGGAGAGCCTGGGTCCGTTCCCAGAGGACCGGAACCGGCGTGTACCTGGGGCGGGGGGGCACAGCTCACGGATGGAGTTGCTCTCACGCGGCACAGCAGCTCTTGGGCTCTCTGGGGAGACCCCTCGTGACTGCACCCTCCCTGCCTCCCCTCCCCACAGGAACCTGGAGGAGAAACGCTTACTCTGGCGGCTCCTGGACGTCCCCAGCACCCAGGGCCATGGAGGTGAGGAGGGGGCGGGGACAGGGCGCGCCCTTCCTCAGTCCTCTGGCAGGGCTTCCCCTTCCACTTCCTCTCCCCCGCCCCAGGGTCGGGCCGCCTCCTGGCCAGCTGGGAGCCCTTGGACGGTCCCAGCAGGCCCTCCCCAGCGGCGGCCCCGGTCCCCAGCGAGGGGAGCACCGTCTCGGGAGCCGACGTGGAGCTGGTGGGCAGCGGCTACCGGATGTCCCTGGTGAAGAAGAGGTTTGCCACAGGTGAGGGCAGCCGAGCTGCGACCGACGGGCCTTTCAGCCCAAGCATCCTCCTCCGGCTTCTCTCGGCCGGCCCGCGTGCCCAGCCGCCCGGCAGACAGGCGTCCTGGGCCTCACGCAGAAGCAGGTCCGTCCTGCTGGCGGTTTGGAGCAGGCAGGGCAAAGCTGGTTGCTGGCCACAGAGGGACTGTGCTGGGGTGGCAGGAGGAGAGCCTGGGGCAGGATCCGGCCGTTGGGGGCTCTGGCAAGTAGCCTCGTCCCCCAGGAGGGTGAACCGCCTTTCCTCTCTCCCCTGCCCCGAAGGTCCCAGGGTCACCCTCACGGATCACTCCAGCGCGTTTGGGCAGCATGGCACCAGCCCTCTGTTGCTTCAGCTACATCAGACCGCCTCCCTCGCTTCGTTCGGGCCCAGATCCTGGGCGGTCTTTGCACCCGTCACAGCCCCCTTCTCCAGCAGGGTGCCTGGGCTCCATGCATGCCCCATTCCTGGCACAGCTTTGCTCTGTGCCAGTTTGGCTGTAACCCCCTTCCCCAGGATCCCAGGCCAGGCTCAAGATTCACCTTTTCCACAGCAGAAGCACACTCAGAAGCCCCCCCCAGCCCCATTTCCGTAGGCTGTTTAGAAGCTTCACTGATTTCTTAGCAATGTTAATTTTGCTTGGAATTCTGACTAGCGTTCGTATGCAGTACTAGAAGAAACCTTGGTGGATTTCTTGTCTTTAAAGGAAGAAGGAAATATTTAAAAGAAGTGAAAGCAATAAAAATAGGTTTGGGCGGGGGGGGCAGGTTGGTACCTTTGAGTCAGCCTTGATTCCTGCCAACTTCCTGGAAGGTCCTTGCAGTTTTCTTGGCAAGGTTTTCCAGAAGTGGCTCTTGCCATTTCCTCCTTCCCAGGGCCGAGAGAGAGTGGCCCACGGTCACCCAGTTGGCTTCACGCCTCAGGGGGACTAGAGCCCACGGCCTCCCGGTTTCCAGCCGGGTGCTTTAACCACTAGTGGGTGTAGCATCCATAACATCCTCCAGAGCTGAAGGGACCTCGGCGTCACCACGTCCTACTCTCTGCTCAGTGCTGGATCACTGGGGCATCTCTGACCCATCGCCCTCCACCGCCCCATAGCTCACGCAGCCTGGAGGTTCCTCCTGAACCCCCTTCCCTACTGTCTTAACCCAGCGGTTCTAGTCCTGCCCATACAAAACGAACCCTCTCCCTCCCACGGACACCCCTTCAGAGCTTCGAAGGCTGGTCGTCTCTCCCCCCGATTCTCCCCCCCTCAGGCTAAGCGTGCCCAGATCCTTCGCTGCTTCCAGATTCCTCCCCATCTTGGTAGCGCTTCTCTGAACCTGCTCCAGCCTGTCGCTGTCCTTTTCGATGCGGTGCCCAGAACTGGACACGCAGTTCTGTTCACGGGGGGTCCAAGCAGGGCAGAAGGGCACGCCGACTGCCCTCGATCTGAACTCAGCCACGACAGCGCTGGCCTTTTTGGCAGCAGCATCCCCCGGCCGGCTCATTGTTGCGGTCAAGGAGGACACCCAGACCCTTCTCATTGGCGGGAGGGGAGGGGAGGGGGTGGGGGAGATCCTCTGCAGCGCCCCCCCTCCTCTCCCTGTTTTGGCTGTGACCCCGTCCCTTTTTTTCCTTCCCCCAATCAGGAATTTATCTCGCTGGCTCATGAACATCCGTGGCCCTGGGAACTTTTAGTCTTCTGGGAGACAGAAATAATATATTTGTGTGTTTTAAATTATTTTTTGCCTGGATTTTAAACACTGGAGGAAAAAGCCCTGTTGGAGGTGTGGAAGGTCAGAAGAGGAGGCGACTTTGAAAACTTCGGAATCGGCACCTGTTGCACTGAGAGTTATTTTTTGTCCCTCTGCTTTTATTTTGATTCTCGTCTGTCTTTTGAAACGTCTCTGGTCCCTTTTGGAAGCAACCAAAGGGCGCCGGTGGGAATATTGGTCTTTTAATAAAAATGTTTGTTTTTCTACAAACATTGTGTTTTCTAATGAATTATAGTTTTATTGACGGTTTTGTACATCTGGAAAAAAGAGTGACTGAACGTAATCCTAATACAGGGTAGTTAACGGGTATGGGTCAGGTGAGCGAAACAGAATCGTGCCAGCAGAAATTGGCAATTTTGCCTTCAGGTTTCAGCAACGACATCCTGTAGGGTTTGTTCAGAAAATCTGCAGCACACTCAGGCCGGAAGAAAGGACAATGGCCCTCTGTTCGCTTTGTTTAAATACACGTCTTGACATAAAGTCAATAGGCTCAGAGGAAATGAGACTCGGACTGCCTGTGATGGTGGGGAGACTCAGCTATTAGGAGCAATTAAGGACAGCCTTGTTCCAGGATTTACATAGTTACAGGCACTTAAGCCTTCGGAAGTGTAAACAGCAATAAATTCAAACAGCGCATACTCCTTGTCAGGTAAATATCTTAACTGAGCTTGTTCTCCCAATAAAAAGACAACACCTTGGCTTTCATGGGGAGCTCTGATAAGGAAGGGCGGAACAGGCGCCCAGCAACCGGTGCCCTTCCCATCCCTGCAGGAATACCAACCGTTGCTAGCTGGGTCCTGTCTGGACCAATC